TTAAAAAAAAAAAAAAATTTTATTATATTATATATATATATATATATATCAATAACAATGCTGGGTGAAATGGTCCTGTTCATACCTAAGAGTCTATTTTTCAGTCAAAGAAAAAAAAAAATAAGCATTAATATTTTTATTTCCTTATACTCGAATTAGATGAAGTTTTTTTTTTTTTTTAAAAAAAAAGGAAACACATCCGACAGTGATTTGAATGTGGTCATAGACGTTAAATTTCTTCTTATGAACGTTGAAAAATCTTAGAAGGAAAATCCATTTTCAGCCTTTTTTTTTTTTTTGTATATACAAGGAATATTTTATAACTTTTTTTGTTCAGATTTTTATTGATTTTCACTTATTTTAAAATAAAAAACTTAATTTCAATAAACATTTAAAATAAGAAAAAAGGAGGGAAATTTTATAAAAAAGGAAAGTTAAATTAAAATAAATGAAAATCCAAAACCCAAATCAGAAATATGAAACCAGATTCAGCCCGATCTCTTTGTAAGGCTAGGTTTGATTTTGTCCCTTTTTGGATTTGACCAAGTGAGAAGATTATTAGTCATCATATACATGTGACATATATTTATCTATCTATCTATATCTCTCTCTCTCTTTCTCTCCTCCTTGAATATGAGCTGTCATTATTAAGAGTATTCAATTCACGCATAAATCCATAGCCATTTGGCTTGTTGAGAGTTTAAGTGTTCTATAATGGATCTTGGGATGGGGAACGATGGTACTAACAATTCAAGTGACGAACAAGGAACTTCGAATCGCAGTGGCTCAGAGAAAAAGATCTATCATCGTCATACCAGTAGTCAGATAGAACATCTCGAATCGTAAGTATTCATTTTGTAAAAGTAATATAAAATATATTATCAGACAAACTTTTATGTAAATCGATCTGATTCGATTATTTTTTTAATTAAATTTTTTAGAATAATTTTAGTTTATGTTGATAAATTTAATCGTAATTCATGATCGGACCAGTAACCAGATATAACATCCCAAATTGTAACTATCTATTTTGTAGAAGTAATAATAAATGTATTTTTGGACCAACTTTTAATTAAATCGATCTGATTCAATAGTTCTCTTGATTAATTTTTTCATTTACAATCTTAATTTATGTTGATAATATTGATTGGAACTCATAAGTTTTTCTTTATTAATTTGTTTGGGCAATTCGATCTTAGTTTACGATGATGATATTGATCTTGATGGTCGTGGAACATATACATACATATCTCATCCAATTTATAATGAAAAATTCTAACCCATCTAACTTGTTGGGTGTTTGAAGATTTTTCAAGGACTGTCCTCACCCGGATGAAAGCCAAAGACGCCAACTTAGTACGGAACTTGGACTAGAACCAAAACAAGTCAAGTTCTGGTTTCAAAACAAGAGGACTCAAACAAAGGTTGGTTTCTTTTTTTTCAAAAAAAAAAGTTTAAGTTGTTCAAAATTAGGGTTCCATTAATTAATTCTTCTTTTTTTCATTTTCTGAACTACATATATGTATATGTATTCAGGCTCAAAGTGAACGAGCAGACAACTCTGTCCTCCGAGCAGAAAATGAGCGAATTCAGTGTGAGAATCTAGCAATTAGAGAGGCACTAAAGAACGTAATGTGTCCAGCTTGTGGAGGTCCTCCTTTTGGAGAAGAAGAACGTCAACGCAGCCTGCAAAAACTTCAGATGGAAAATGCCCTATTGAAAGAAGAGGTAGTCATCATATCTATATCTTAATTAACATATATATATATATATTATGGCACCTTCAAATGTATCAATGCCTACCCATATATCCATTTGAGAGGTACTGAAAGATAATATATTAACTCATATAGTTTATATGAATGTGTATATGTATATATCTATACATGTTAGTTAGTAAAATTAATAAACTGCATGGGTTAGTGTAATATTTTTCAATATCTCTCCAATGGGTATATGGGCAGGCATTGATACATTTGAAGGTGACTAACCTATATATGTATATAATCCATACAGTTTATATAAATATAAATATATATATATATATGCATGGTAATTAATAAAATTAGCAACAATGTTTACTTTGTTTTACAGCATGAGAAGGTGAGTAACCTTCTTGCAAAGTACTTAGGGAAACCAATTTCCCAGTTTGAAGCAATGAGTACTTCGACTCGAGGTGAAGGACCGTCCAATGCCTTGGATTTCTTGCCACCAAGTTATCTGACTCAAGGACTAGTTGGATTCCCTTTTCTTGACAATCTTGATAATTTCAGCCAAAAATATCGAGAAAATATTAATAACAACTTACCAGCGAATAATCATGTGATTGATCTTCAACAACACTTCGACGCTAGGTTGATTTCGGATGTAGAAAAAGCTTTCATGGTGGAGACTGCTGCATCCGCCATGGATGAACTAGTTAGGCTTTTGAGAGTCAATGAACCATTGTGGATTAGGTCTGAACTGAGTGGATCAAGAGCAGTTATTCACCGTGACACTTATGATAAGATCTTTCCTAGGATTAATAGGTTTAAAAACTCAAATTCTCGTATCGAATCATCTAAAGAATCAGGGATGATAACAATGAGTGGAGCTCACTTGGTTAAAATGATTATGGATCCAGTAAGTCTTCATTTTATGTGTTTATATGGTTCTAATTCCCTAATTTCAACTACTTTATCATATATACATATATGTAGTAAGTAATTATTTAATTCTAGATACATAAATTATGATATCCATATAATATCATATATGTTACATTTGATCTTACTTTTCAATTTTCAGGAGAAATGGACGGACCTTTTCCCTACAATTGTTTGCAAGACAGAACAACTTTATGAAGTTCAAGCTGGAACAAGTGGCAACAAAAATGGTTGCCTGTTGCTGGTAAATATACATAAGCACACACACATACCCATATACATATCATAGAGCTAGCCACAATATATCATTTTTCTCAAGTTACAATTATGTATATGTGCCTTAATTTATATTTCCATATAATGATGGATATGGATATTATATATATATATATACTTATATGATTTACGTTGATGGAATATGTATATATATATATATATATATATATGATACATGATGACAGATGTATGAGAAAATGCACATCCTTTCCCCATTGGTGCCAGCTCGTGAATTCATCATCCTTCGCCACTGTCGGCAATTAGAAAAAGGCTTATGGGTGATGGTAGATGTATCCTATGATTTAAAAGGCCATATTCCCCCTTCTCGTTGTTGGAAGCTACCTTCTGGATGTATGATTCAAGAAATGGCAAATGGGTGTTCAAAGGTAGGCAATTCCAAACCCTAAACAAATCATTAGAGTCGTAGACATAATATGCTTCATTGTTGCATGTGATAACGTACATATGCATATATGTATATGTCTATACGTACATACACCTTATGAATTTTGGACAAATTAAGAGATTTGCGTGATCACATATTTTGTTTTTTACTTTTGAAATGTAATTTATGGATCATCGTCAATTAAATATTTTTATTAATTTATTGTTATAAATTTACTTTCATATACTTATGTTATAATTTTCTAAAACTATACTACAGGTTATTTGGATCGAACATGTGGAAGTTGATGATAAAACTCTAACTCATCGATTATATAGAGATCTATTATGCAGTGGATCTGCATATGGGGCTGAACGATGGATTGTTACGCTTCAAAGAATATGTGAGAGATTGGCTTTCTCCATGGCTGATAATCCTCATGTTTATCATCACAACTCAGGTAAAAATGATATGTGTATGTGTATATAAAGAGAATAAATTCCAACGATAATCTTAGTTTTTATACTAGTATGGAGTGCCAAGATTACGAATCTTCTTTGCAATGCTATATTTTCCATTTGTGTGTTCTATTTTGTGCATAACTTCATTATTTTATGTAAATATAATTAAAACACTATAAATATTGTTCTAATTATACTATTTATAATTGTAATTGATGTAAAACTTGCAATGCCAATTAATGAGTTCAACAAGGGATAAAAATTTAGAGTAAGTTGGCTTGATTATCACCAAGACTATGATGCAATTTTTTGTTATTATTTTTGTGCACATATGAGATATATCTTGTATACCATACATTTATACTATGATTTTTAGTAGATGATGTATATATCTATTAATTAAATGATATATAGATATCAACTGTAACATCATATAAATAATCTTTAAATTATGTTAAATACGGTAGCACAACATAACTTGAAACCATAACTTCTTATAGAGAAAGAAACATACTAAATAGTAGTTAAAAAATATATATTATAAGTAGAATGATAATGTTAATACATATATTTTAAGTTTTTCTATATTAATTAATACATTTTTTTCGTTTTGGTTTCAGTTATGCCTAATAGTATGAAGAGCATGTTGAAGCTTTGTCACAGAATGGTAAAAGACTTCTGCGCAGGTTTGTGCATGTCATGTGATAACAAACTTGATTTTCCCCAAATATCTGAAGTCAATAGTAGTGGGGTTCGAGTTTGTGTCCGTGAGGGCATGGGACGAGCCAACCTAGTGGCATGATCGTCAGTGCTGCCTCCTCTCTTGGCTTCTCTCCCTCCTCTTAATGTCTTTATTTTTTAA